CTAACTCTTTTTTGATTTTTTTTATATTAATCATCAGCATCTAATTGGTTCATGTCTAAGTTTTTCATATAATTTCGCATCATCCACCAACTTGAGTGACCTTGATTTTGTTCGAATAATAGCAGTCGTATTTTCAAAATCGAATTGTCTTTTAGGAAATAACAGAAATATATAATTCAATATGAACGACGAATATGAGAACAAAAAACTACTATAACCTGTCTATATTATATAATCAATGGAAACAAGGCCGGAATTTTGGGTCTGAATTAAGTAATTGATTACACTGTTATGCAGTCTTGGGATCAAAGCTTGTATTTTCAGCAGAATGATGCGAGTTATCTGTGTTGCTATGACTTGACATAGACACTGTGCACCCAAACACTTGTGCTATTGGCCTGCCAAATACAATCTAGGATTTTAATTTCTGAATCTGAAAACAGCATGAGTGTGTAGAGACCCAGACCCCCTTCTAGGCATTACTGTTAAAACATTTGTTTAGTTGCTGCATAAATGTCTGGACTTTAGTTGCATTTTGTGTTTTGTCATTACAACACTTGTACTTCGATGATGTCTGTTTTTTGTTTGTGTCATTTTTGGGTGCTCACGAAGTGACCTTCCCCAATCGTACTCAAGTTCCCGAGCCGAGGCAACTTTGGTGATGACGGACACATGGCCTTAGGCAAACGAGTCAGGGTTTCCTAAATTTCTTCTAAAATAAAATATTTAGGTGGCGACTCTGTATCTGGCAAAGCAGTCCATGTTTGGCACTTCTTTCAAAAAAATCTGTTTTCTCAAAACGATTTGCCGGATTTGGACTCTTTGGTTCAGACTTAGAATCGTGACAAATTTGAGAGTCCTGAGCTGTAGTGGGCCCAATATCGAACGGAACGGGGAGCTCGTTCCTCCCGGGGCGTTCGGGAACGTCTACAAGGACCACCACCTAAAGTCAATCTACCAGATCATGTTGGTTGGTATTCAGATCTTGATGATAATGATGAATTGATTAGTTTGAAAGGGTCATCAGATGAGGCAAATGATGTTGGATACCCTAAATACAAAGAATAGATGATGAAGGATTCCAAACTTGTAGTTAGAATGAAATTTCTCAGTCCCCAAGTTTTCAGAGAGTATTTAAGGGAGTTTAATGTGGTGAATGGTTATGATATAAGGTACATCATAAGTGAGAGTGCTAGGATCATTGCTGTTTATAGGCATATTTGTACTTGGAGGATACATACCTCTCCATTAGGGGGAACGACAACCTTTCAGATCAAAACTCTAGAGGGGAAACACACATGTGAGAGGCATTACAATAACAAACAAGCCAACTTTAAATATTTGAGGAAGAAGTTTGTAGATAAGGTAAGAGATGACCCCTCTATTAACATAACCTCTTTCAAGAAGAAAAAAAGTAAGAAGAGAGATAATGGTGGATGCAAGTAGGTTTCAAATATTTGGGGCAAAAAGAAGGGCAAGGGAAATAATTGTAGGGGATTTGGCAGAGCAACATCACAGGATTAGAGATTATGCAGCTACAGTTATTAGGAAAAATCCAACCTCACACATTTTAATAACAACTAATCTTGAAAAGATAAAGCCTACATTTCAAATGATGTATTTCAGACTTTAGTGCATAGAAATATGGATTTCTAGCAGGGTGTAGACCAATAATAGGACTAGATGGTTGTCATTTGAAAAAGATTTTTGGAGGGCAGCTACTCAATGTTGTTGGGAGAGATGGGAATGACAACATGTATCCTATTGTAATGGCTTTGGTTGAGATAGAATGTAAAGCCTCTTGGTCTTGGTTTAAGCTAAGGAAGGATAGACACACACTGTGTTTGTATTTAAGCTAAGAAATGACAGACACACACTTAGAGTTATGGTTTTTGTATTTAGAGTTATGGTTTTTGAGAATGGTTTTTTTTTTTTTTTTTTTGGAAATTGTTGATGTATTTAAGTGTTGTGTTTGTATTTAAGTCTGGTATTCAAATGTAGCATACTTCTGTAATGGATTGTTATTGAATAGTATTGTTAATCTCAGTTTTTTTTGTCATTTTTGTTCCATTGCTTCAAGTGCATTGATTTGGAATGAGGCCTTTTGTTTTGCAAATCAACTTAACAGGGTTACCATTTTTATTTTGTATACAATCGATTTGTTTGTGTTAGAACCATTTTAATCTTGGTTGTATATTTTGCATTAGAATGTAGTAAAAAAAATTCAGAATTTTTTGATTTTTTTCCAATTAAGCTCAGCATGGTTTGTGCTTGAATAATTTTTAATGCATTTACATGCATTTTCATGTTGCAGTAAAAAAAATATACAAATTTCATAAATTTCATAACACATGATTTCATTGCTTTCTAACATACATCAAGTACATAAAGCACCTTACAAATCCATTTCATACTGAACATTAACATGGTAAAAATGAAACACACAAGCAAAACCACCATAGATGTCTTCATCATAATGTTCAGTGCCTCCATCTTTATCTCTAGCTTCATCAGTCTTCCATTAAAATGCACACCTTCCTCAACTCTTGGCTTCTCATCATCAATCTCATCTCTTCCATAGGTGGGAGCATATCCAACTAGGTTGCACCAAGCCCAAAAATCACAACCCCCCAAACCCGCCTTTTCACAAACATAGTACAACCTACATTTTGAAGGATTTTCGGACTCCATGATTTTAATGGCTGTTTTTTTTCCCACAGCGACATTTCTTGCTCATGAACCTCAACATTTGTCCTTCTCCACTAGCAATGCTTGAAGATGACATTTTTGCTGGGTAGACTAGCCTGCAACTCAACATACGAAGCAATGAGGCAATATAAAAAACAATCTTGCCCTAATTTTTATTTTTAACTCTAGGGGCATTTTGGTTTTTTAATTGTAAGGAAACATCATCAATTCATGCCCAACTGTACCACACTCGCGTGTGCTGCATAGTCTGTTAGAATAGATGGAAAAGGTAATTGTGTACATTACTCCATCAACCACAATGGGGTTATGATCCACACATGACCTATACTATAGGGGGGTAAAGTAAAGTTTGCCCTAATTTTTTTCTAACATGAAACCTTATAAATCTTGGGTGACCTCCGCACGAGATTTATAAAAGACATTTTTTTAATGTGAGTCCTATGTAGAAATCCCATATTCTCCATTTGTCTCTAAATAATAATTAGGGTAAATTATAACTTAACTCCCTGTGATTTACCCAAAAAACACGGAGTCCCCCTATAGTTTTATTTGTAACACTTAAACCCCCTATACTTCATACCAAAGAGTAATTTTGGACGAACGTAACAAAAATTGCAAAAAGTCTAAATTACCCTTGTTTATTTATCTAATTTTCTTCTTGATGCCATTACAAACCAGAATATTCTTTGATTTTTCTTTAAATTTTTTGTATTCCTCCTCATCTTCTTATTCTTTCTCATCCCATGGCAAACTACACACCTTTCATACCATCATCAAATACATATCTCTCTCTCTAGAATTTAGACCCAAACAATTACTTATCTCTCCCACCTCCTTCAAAACCAAAAACCACCCTTTACAAAGTGTTATAGATGAAGCAACAGAAGAGGGTGGATGATGAAAAAAAAAAAGGAAATAGATTTGGAGATATTTCTTTGAAATGTGTGAAGTTAGTTTTCGGACAACTTCCGGTATGCCGAAACCACCCATTTCAGGAAGAAATCAGAAACTGAGGTAGCGTAGGATGAAGTATAAAGCAAGTTGATAAGATTGGTGAAAGAACGGGATAAAATCGTTAAGAATTGAGAAAATCATGGAGTCCGAAAGATGGGCCTAAGAAATGTCAAAAACGAGAAGGAAAAGTGGGTTTGGTTGATATGAATCCCATCAATACTATTTCGAAAATCTAAATGTTTACACATATTAATTGTTTTTTTTCATGGATTTTGTTACTAATTTGAATTGTAAGAAGAAAAGTGGGTTTAGATAATTTTTAAAGAGAGAAGTTGTGTTAGTGATTTTGAGTGGTGGTTTTGCTGGGAATAAGAAGTTGGTTGTGAATAATTTTTAGAGAGAGAATTTATGACAATTAGAGTGTTTTGGTCATTTGTCATATGTTAAATTCCTCACTCCGGCGCAGGACCCATATTGTTCAATCTTTCTTTGTCGTCTTCCTTTACTGATTCTACGTTTTTTCATGAACAACAATCTAAACTGTTCTTGATTTATATTACGATAAACGAAAATGAGTTGGACCCCCAGTGGGGGTGCTGGGGGTCTCCTCCCATTTGTCAAAAACTTTTTTTTTTTTTCTTCTTTTCCTCCATTGCCAGCACCCCACGTGGAGGTGGGGGTGCTGGGGGTGCCTCCGTACTGGGGGTCGGAATCACAGCTCTACTATAAATATATATATGTACCTAAATCTATCTAGATATAACTAGTATCTGGGTCCTGCGTTATTTTTAATTTTCCAGTAAAATTAATAGTAAGATCTTTGGTTTAATTGGTGTAAAATATACCAAATGGCTTCTTCAAGTGAAAATTCGTCAGGGTCTTCACAGATTCAGAACCACTCTAGCTCTGAAGAGCACTTGCAAGGAAAGAAAACAATTAGATCATCACAAGTGTGAGCATCACCACTCATCACTATCCATGCTTGTATTGCACCATACTGTGTATATATACAGTAATAAGGGTGTTTTAGTCATTTATCATTTATTTTTGAATGGGCTCATCATTTATCGTCATGCAACACAGGTTCTATTTAAACAAATAATTCAATCAAAAATTACCCTTTAATATGAAATATGAAGAGTTTAAGTGTTATAAATAAACTATTTGGGGGTTGTTTGTGTTTTGGGGGGGTTTTTGTTTTTTAAGCAACTACTGACATCCCTTGAATAATCTATTTTTTTTATTTTTTTCTATCATATCATTTCTTTATTTTTTTACATATTTTTTTATAAAAAAATAAAAAATAACTTACTTAAATCATCCAAACATCTCCTAAATTCGAAAATACAACAAAAACCATCCGAACCGCGATTAATCCGTGGATCTGCCATTCGGTGCGAACGCACACCCCTGCTGATGACTACCTGAGAGACGTCTGTCTCTCTCTCTGCTGTACTCTACTCTGCTTATGCTGCTCTTACTCGAAGCTAGGGTTTCGATTTCGATTCGAACTCGACTATAATGGTTGAGAGAAGGAAGCCTTTGGTATTGTCTTCAACCAAAGCTCTCATCAATTCGTTACTGAATTCATCAAAACCTCAACAAATCCATGGAATTGACCCAACTACCCCGGCGTCCGGCAATGAAAGCACTCCGTCTGTGCTGTTACCGGCGGGAATTATTCGATTTTCGAAGGACAGAAAGGACATTTTGGACCCCAAGGTCGCTTCTCTTGACGACTCTGCCTTGGTTGGGCTTCCGACGTCTGTGCTCAAGAAACTATCGGTCACCTCAGGCTCATTGGTATGCAGTTAGGTTTTTGTTTGGCTACTACGAAAATTGAATAGAAGGAAAGCGAAGAAAGGGAAGTAGGATTGTATAATGTTTTTGGTGTTTGTGTTTTTTCAGAATGTTAAAATTGCATTTTTTTTTTTATTGAAAACGAGATGAAGATCTTACTCTTTTTTTTTGTTTGCCTACAATTTCTTAGGAGAGCAACATGAAATTGCAGGAAAATAAATGAAAGAACAGAATTCTTAAACTTATTGGGAATGGGAGTGGTGGCTTTGTAATGAAATGAAAGGACACTGGATTCTTAACTTGGTGGCTCTATTCTTCATGGGTTCCACAAGAGAAAAATTTAAATGTCTGATAACCATAGTCTGCACTAATACAAACTCAAAGAAAAGATTGTGAATTAACAAGCTCAGTAAGCTCAATAGATTTCGCAACAAATTGAATTAAATAGAGCTTTTTCATGGAGATGATTAGTGTATACTATGGGTTGGTTTGGGAAGTGGGTTGGCTTTTTTGGCTATTTTAGCCTGGGGCTAAAAGCTTGATTTGAGAAGGGTTTTTTGGCTTTTTTGACTTTTTACGTGAGAGAAGAGCGTAATGATTATGGGTTAGATGTGAAGTTTTGTTTGTTGCGACTAAAATAACCTATTTTGTCTTTTGTGACTAAAATAGTCAAAAAAAACCCACAAAATCCCTTCCCAAACGGTGTGTCAGGTCTTTATCTTACATGGCCTTGATTGGCTCTTTTTTTATTTTTTTTGGTCCAATATTTATGAAAGAATTGACTGCACCTTTTTTTTTGGTCTCTAAAAAATTTACAAGATATTTGTCAAGAATGTTGAGATGAACGAACGGAGAATTGGCCAAGCTTTTGTTCTAGATCCTCCCTCCATCCATGAACATTTGGGCGACAACAAATTGCCTTTCCCCAAATCTCCAAGAGTAATGCTTGTGTTTCCTTCATATAGTTACCCCCAAATTCACCATGCACCATTGGACCAAGAGGTTGCCTATGTATCTCCTCTACTGGCGTTTAACCTTAGCTTGCATGTATCATGCTTCAAGTCTCTTGTTCACCAAGGTAAAGAGACTTTGGCATCTCTATTTGAAGTTAAAATGGATGATCACACAAATGGGAAGGGGAGTGAAACCTCTATCATCAGTTTAACACTTCAACCATGTGCTGAATTGCCAAGTTATGCCTCACACTTGAGGATTTCTTTTGTGAAGATACCGGAATGTGGTATCCTTGAATCTCTTAAAGGAAGTTCATCTGTTGAAGCTAAAGATCGTCAAGAGATGATTGATTTGGCATTACACAAATACTTTGAAAAGGATAGATATCTTGCCAGAGGTGATCTTTTCTGTATCTACATCAATTGGAATTGCAAGTCAGCTATGTGCATTCCTTGCAGCCTAAAGAAACAAAATGCCAGTGACGAGATAATCTACTTCAAGGTGAACTCCCCATTTCTTCCATTCATTTTGTAACATTCTCACAAGGAATATCATACATGACAGATTCTCATCAGGAAGTGGTACATGTCCTCAGGTCATGGCTATGGAGCCGTCTGATGAACCAGTTCTTAGAGTCAATCGGATGCAAACAGCACTTGTGCTTGGAGGGAGTGTTCCTTCTGCTGTTCCTCCAGATCTGTTAATTTCTAAGTCAAAAGATTTTGTGCCTTTACAACGGGACACAGTCAAGATTTTGGCCTCAATACTTACACCACCTTTATGCCCATCAGCACTTTCATCAAAGTTTAGAGTTGCTGTTCTGTTAAATGGTTTGCCTGGTGCGTGTCTTTGCGATTTGTGATTTGTTGATTAAAATATTTTTTTTTTCAGGAGTTTGCTGATTATATTGTTGATTGAGGATACAATATCACTACTATCTATTGTAATTCACATGGCAGTGTCAAATGATTTGTTAAGAAAACACTGATGGACAGGGCTGCTATGTTTCCAAAGCATCATTTAGACTTCAACTGGTTTAATATCCTCAATATTGGATTTGTGAAAAAGTTTTTTAAATGGATATATTGACTATTTCTGAAATGCTTACAAGTTAAACAATTGAAGTATCTGATTGTTCTCGCCTTGTTTTTATTTATTTATTTATTTTTACTTTACTATAATTGTAGATATATTTGTCGGTGAGTGCTGATCCAGTAGTTGCTGCAGGGTGTGGCAAAAGGACTGTGGTTAAATATATTGCTAGCCGATTGGGCCTTCATGTAGTAGAATATAGTTGTCATAATCTAGTGGGATCCTCTGAAAGAAAGACATCTGTTGCATTAGCAGAAGCTTTCAAAACAGCTCGCAGGTATTTGGCATGATGAGCTATTGAATATTATATGTGCAAGCTTTTCTGTAACTTATGTGCTGTAGTCTTCATAATCTGGTAGTACTTTCAAATCATTGATTGTAGATTCTTGCTAAATAATCTAAATGGCATCAAACTTTCCCCCTTCTTTGCCCATCCCCAAAAATTAGGAATATGGAAAAGACATAGGTGATTGAACCTTTAATAATTTTTGTTATACTGGTTTATTTTTTCCCACTGAAAATGTAGATGGAGACTCACCCCTTTTCTCCTTCCAACAATAACATTTGAAGAATTCTTTTTTTTTTTGTATTCTTAAATACATTGAAGTCTCTGTGCAAGCAAGCAGTGGGTATATACAGTTATGAACCATCTTGCATGGTATTTTGCATTTCATTCATTGTTTATTTTAAATGCTTCAAGTCATCTAAATTCTATGTTGAGGAGCGTAATTACTTTATAATTTCTCCTATTCTGCTGTTTTTATGATTTTCCTAATATTATTTGACCATTGCTTGTCACCATTCAGACCTAGAATTGGAGAAAAACGTGGTGCTGTTTTTTTATCCAACAATTCAAAAGTTTCTCCCAATAAATCTTCTCTGAAAATAAATGAATAAAAGAGTTTTCCCAAATTCATGTCCTTGTTTAGGTGGGGATGATCATTAAGTAATTCAATACAACCCACTTTTTTTTTTTTTTTTTCTTCTTCCTCTTTTTCTTTTTAAATTTTGTATAATGCTTAAAATCATTCTAGGCAGCAATCCATTATACTCCAGTGTGGCTCAGAATAATCATATTGTGGAGAAGATCTTTTGGGCTTGGACCATATGAGAAATCCAGTGATAAAGTTTGTTTTTGTGAACGTGTTTCATTTTACTAATATTTCAAAAATCTTTATATTTACAAATTTATTTTACTTATTAAATTGGGTAAATTACACTTGCCTCCACTGAGTTATGGAGAAAATAAAAATAGCCCTATAGTTTTGGCATATGTGCATTGACTTCCCTTTTAGTAATGCTAAAGGAACTGAAATTGATGCAAATATGTGAAATCACAATAATAAACAAGAAAAAATAATTACATTTCAATGTAAATGATATGACATCATTGTTTTTCCATCCATATAACTAAAGAATTATTGATGAAAAGGAGGCTAAGTAGTATGTGGATTAAAACGTTAAGGGAGCCTAATGTAATCATGTCAAAATTATGGAGTTTACTATATTTTCTCCAAACCTCAAGGGATGTAAGTGTTATAATTAATTGCACTTAATTAGGTTGTTGCTGCTTGTTCCTTACATTTTAATCTTGTTACAGATACTCACCAGCAATTCTTCTTCTCCGCCATTTTGATGTTTTGCGGAACCTGGTTTCTCAAATGGGTTCGCCTCTTGATCAAGTTGGTGTTACGTCTGAAGTTGCATCTGTTATCAGGGAATTTACAGAGCCAGTTATGGAAGATGAAGACATTTATTATGAAGAAATTTCCAATGATGATTCTGTAAGATGCAAGTTTGTATCATTTTAGGTCTCTAAACTTCTTTAACATAACTGAAATTTTAGATATCTCAATATGAATTGTTTACTATGTATTAATTGTGACTCTAAGCACTATCATTCTTTCTTCCCATTTGCTTTCCTTCTGTTCTTTTAAATCCTAGAACGCAAATTCTAAATTGGAGAATTGAAACTTTAACTAATAAAGGATACTAATACTATAATACAGAGAAAAGGGAGATCGTCCTTAAGTATGGGTAAAGACAAAATTAAGTATGGAAGCAAAAAGAGCATACCAAAGTAAAAGGAAACGAGAAAATAAATTTGAAAAAGAAGAAATAGCAGCACACGAGGAGGTTTTTGTGCATCATGAAATCCCCTCAAGAGTGTTAAGGCATGCCACTCAAGATCTGCTTCTCAATGGATATATTTAGCGGGGCTGACCAACAAATGGATGATGACAAAAATCTACTTAGAGAGACCACAAAACTCCCCAGGATCCCAGATTATTCACTAATCCTTTGCCGAGGTTCAGTTGTAAACAAGAAGAGGGATGTCAGAATCTATTTTTAGGGCCTTTTTTCCCATAGTTTTCTGCCTTACCCGCCGTGTTTACTGTTACAACAGATTCTTTAGTGCTCTTTTGGAACCCAGAAATGTATTATTGGTAGCTGTTTTGGTGTTTGGGTTGATGATGTTAGAATACTAATCCTCTGATAGAAAGAGGCATCCAAAAGACTTCATACTCAAGAAAGTTGTGCCACTACAGTTATGCAGAACTCGGAGGGTACCCTCAGGATCTAGGTTTCCTGAAGAACACTTGTCTAAGTCAAGACTGAATGGATCTTTGAGATGAATAATCTAACTTGGGAATGGGAAAATTCATTTTTAGAAATTTTTTTTGCTAGATATTGTCAAAAGCAGGACAGGGTTACTTTTCTAATTTTCTGATGCAGCAAGGGAAGGGTACTGAAACAGTAAGCAGGCATCCATTGCTGTTAGTTGCGGCTGCTGACAGTTCTGAAGGTCTGCCACCAACTATTAGGCGTTGCTTCACTCATGAGATTAGTATCGGGCCTTTGACTGAAGAACAAAGGGTTGAAATGCTGTCCCAGTCACTTCATGATGTTTCTGGATTGCTTCCTAATGTAGGTGAACATATGTTCTCTTTTATCTTTTGTTTGTATTTAGATAAGATGATGCCTTTATCCAAGTGGTCCAAGTTAACAACCATTGATGGCCTCGTTACATGTCCAAAATCTGTAACAGAGGCTGACCCAGCATTCAGCAACTCTTGCTCCTTAAGATTACAATAGAAGCTAATATTTGGTATCATTTTAAAATTTGCATTTTTGTTTTTCTTGTTTTGGAAACAAAAACAATGAAAAGTTCGGAAACACCAATAGTTTCCATTCTTGTGGAAAACTAGTTTTTGAAAATTCAGAAAACAATTTTAAGTGTTTCCTAGAGAAGGGGTGTTTTTAGAGAATTTTTACAAAAACTGTTTCCGGAAATATTTTGTCAAACAAGTTTGCCATTGGACCATCATATTGGTTTCCATTTTTTGTGTTTTCCTTGATAACAGAAAACCAAAAAAGAAAATGATACCAAACACGTCCTGAGATTAAGTTGTGTATTTTTTCAAATTCCCAAAATAGTGCCATGGTTACAATCATTTTATTCAGTCAATTTTAGCTTCAGAAATTGTTGTCTTTCCTTTCAGCTAACTATTAAGATCCCCTTTCGTAAAAGCATTACAGTAATTTAAGTGTGTTATTAGATGGTTGTTATGGTCTAAAACAAATTGATATTTGCAGCTCTTCACAGTTATGATTTTAATGTTGATCATAGCTTACCTTGGTCATTGCTGTTGACTTTGATAGATCAAGTTATTATTTCTTGCAGGCTGCTTCAGATGATTTTATAAAGGACATAGTTGGACAGACATCTGGTTTCATGCCCAGGGATTTGCATGCTTTAATCGCTGATGCTGGTGCAAATTTAATTCCTAGGCAGAATATTCAATTTGACAAAGCTGAGCCTGAGATCTTGGGTGAGAAGAGATCTATTTTGCTCAAACCTGAGCAGGATAATAAGTCATCTGATGATGCATCTCGGGTTCTGGGTAAAGAAGACTTGATCAAAGCTTTGGAGCGATCAAAGAAGAGGAATGCATCAGCGTTGGGCACTCCAAAGGTAAAATAAACAAGAAATGCTAACTCCTTCAACTTTTTACGCTCTAATGTTCTATTGTACCTAAAGTAGTATTAGTAGTCTGAAGTTGTCTAGCATTTACATTCTGCTGCAAAGGTTTTAAGTTGTAAAGAGCAGATAGTGAGGTTTCTTTCTAGAGAAAATTCATGTCTGCCTGTTGAACATATTATTGAATGTGTGAATGATTCTTCTATAGGTTCCTAATGTAAAATGGGAGGATGTTGGTGGGCTTGAGGATGTTAAGAAATCAATTCTGGATACTGTTCAGGTGTGGCCTTCAATATCTCTACTGTGGTGTTGATTATTATTTTGGATTTTATCTCTATTTTTATTGATTTGAGAAGATTGTTACTGTCTTTCTTTTTTAGTTTTAAAGGTTTCCCTCACTCAATTGACTTACCTATTGTTCCTTTTAGTCAGTTCTTATGGAATGTTAGCTTGTAAAGCTCTTTAGCCATGTGTTACATTGACATTGTCCATTTATTTGCAAACTTTACTATAGCACACATCACCCAAGAAATGAACATTTCTTTATAATACAGTTCCTACCCCAGTATTCTTCCTTTTCTTTTCTTTTTTTATTGTTTAATACCATTCTACTTATCTTCTAAATGCAAAAAAGCACACTTATATATAGAAGTAGCATTTGAGAATCCCGCCCATTAACGGCAACACTGCATATGGCTATTTTGCATTGTTCATATCCTGTTAATCCCCTCCTTCTGCATCCATATTTCCAAAAGGGCATTGTCGGATTTTTTTATAGGTTGAATTTCCAACCATGAGCTTGCCCATTTCATCTAGGCCCCTTTTAATCTTTTATATTCTGAAAGCAACTGAAGAGAACCAAGAAGAGCGAAAGGAAGTGGGTAGGCACGTAGGCAAGATAATAATTCGGATTAATCGTTTAGCAAACATCATTTTTGCATTGATAATTTTCCTTTGGTGTATTCCAATGATTGAGGTCCAAAACAATTTCACTTATATGTAGTCACTATGATAAGCCTAAGCATGGTAAAGAAGCTTTGGGGTGATATATTCTCAGAACATCCTTCTGATTTTTGTTCATTTTCTCTGTAGCTGCCTCTTCTGCACAAGGATCTGTTTTCCTCTGGGTTACGCAAGCGCTCTGGTGTCCTTCTTTACGGTCCTCCGGGTACAGGGAAAGTAAGTTCTTGGTTTATATTATTCCTTAGCGTTTCGTATCTTCTTTTTGGGAAGGACTCTGCTTCATGACCTTGCTGTTATCCTGATTCCAAATTTCAGACTTTATTGGCGAAAGCTGTTGCAACAGAATGCTCTCTGAATTTTCTTAGTGTAAAAGGGCCTGAACTGATCAACATGTACATAGGAGAATCAGAGAAAAATGTGCGCGACATTTTTCGGAAGGTAATATTCTTATTTTTTTGGTCCATGTTAAATTGTGAAGTAAAAAGAACAGACAGTATGAGGATGAGTTATATTAGCTTCAACGGCGGGTGCTGCTTCAACTTGTGATATCGCAATGTAATTGCACATCATTTGCAGGCCAGATCAGCACGTCCATGTGTTATCTTCTTTGATGAACTTGATTCTCTTGCTCCAGCCAGGGGTGCTTCCGGAGATTCTGGGGGTGTTATGGACCGTGTGGTTTCTCAGGTAAGAATAATTGTGTTTGATTGATATCTTTTCATTTTCTTAATCAAAATGGTTGCTTTATGTGCTAAAATTCCTTGTTAATAGATGCTTGCCGAGATTGATGGACTGAATGACACAACACAGGTTTCTCATGCTACTTAGAAATAATACTTTCTATTTGACGATTTATTTTCTCCTTTTGCTTCTAAGCAACACTACTTTCTTAATTCTTTCTGGTTTAAAGGATTTGTTTATAATTGGAGCAAGCAACAGACCAGATCTGATTGACACAGCTCTTCTACGGCCAGGCCGATTTGATAAGCTGCTTTACGTTGGAGTTAATTCTGATCCATCTTACAGGGAGCGGTTAGTTTTATTCTCACTTGCCTTTCATGATCATTATTGATTTAATACATTTATTATCATGCATCACGATTTCCTTTTTTCAGAGTCCTTAAAGCGCTGACCAGGAAGTTTAAATTGCACGAAGATGTGTCTCTTTACTCGATAGCAAAGAAATGTCCCTCAAACTTTACTGGCGCAGACATGTATGCCTTGTGTGCAGACGCATGGTTTCATGCTGCAAAGCGCCAGGTGAGTCTAGTCAGTGCCATACTGTTGATTGAAAATACGAATCTGCATTTTCACTACATCACAATTTTTGCAAAAGTAATCATAACTGAATATAAATTGGAAAAAAAAAAAAAAATTTATAAATTTCAATTTTAAGCTTACATGGTAAAATTTGAATCTGCTCTTTTTTTGGGTCAAACACATAATTAATAGTTCTTGAAGTAAAAACTTGCAATTCACTAAGAAATACGATTCTCATGATTTGACTCTAGAATTATGAAATTTCAATATTAATAAATCTAGTATTTTTTAAAATTTTGTCTTTTGTTTGCTATTAATTATCTTGCAGGCTTTAGATCCAAGTTCAGATTCATCTTGCACAGATGATCAAGCAGACTCCATTGTTGTTGAATTTGATGATTTTGTGAAGGTATGAAATGTGATGCAATTAGTTTCTTTATGTTTGGTTAGGGGATTTGGGAGGGATTTGGAAGTTTCACGCATATTTTCCCTTTTTCTTTCTAAATCCCTTCTCAAATCCGCTAATCAAATATTTTAACATATTTTGCTGCCATCTTGAAGAAGATTGCTTAGCTTAGCTGGAAGAGTTTAAATTATTGAAGGCATGTATTTGTACTTGGTTGCACTGGTACAATTCTGCTTTGCTTAAATTGTGATAATGAACATTTCGAGTCACCTGACCAACAATATTTAGAGAGGGCACTTGACTATCTAGGATCTTCGTTTTCCTATTACGTTTGACGTTCCATATCTACAGTTTGATGCTGTGAAATGTAATTTTCCAATTATTAGTATAATGCATTTACCAATGCATGACGTGCCATCTGACTGTTTCAGTGATCTAACTGGTAAATTTTCACAACTATGACTAACTCCCCAGTTAAAAATTGGCCTTTGCGGTGTTGCTTTTTTAACAAAAGTGAGAAAATGTTCCTTGAATTGGACTTTTTTTGGGGGTCTGGTGTGTTGGTGTCTGAATTCTATAGCTCATCTTTGCAGGTCTTAGGAGAGCTGTCACCCTCACTTTCTCTAGCGGAGCTTAACAAGTATGAATTGTTGCGAGATCAATTTGAAGGACGTTCAAGATGAATTCAATTTAAGGTGAATTCAATTTGTACTGCTTTATATAGATGTTCTTCCCTTCATATGTTTCAATCACAGCAGTGACAATTCAAAATCGTAGAGTAAAAAACTCCTATCGGGGCTGATTTTCCTGTTTCTGACAGCATACAACTTATATGTTGAAAATTTTCTTGTCAGTACCCGGCCTACCTATTAACCATTTTTAGGAGACGGAAGCTTCTGGATATACTCTTTCAAATTTTCATTACACCCACCATATGGATTGTAATATTTAGAAAGAAAGTCTTATCCAATTGAGTGTAGAAAGATATTTAGGTGCATTTACATGATCTCTTGGAAGCCAAATGGGGCTCTATTTAGGTGCATTTTTATTAAAATATCATTCTGGATGTGTTTTTTGTATAGAATTTTTGTTTGCAAATCACTTTCCTAATACTAATATTTCAATGTTAATTCAGGTACCTATTTTTTTATATATATATAAAAAAAAATCAAATATATATATTCTACAAACTCATTAAACTTTGTGAGAGTGATATTTCTCGTGCTTGTTTGGAGTCACTAATTCTAGGTAATAGGTTTTGTAATTTCAGTAATATTCAGGGAGGTTAATGTAATTTTCTTTTAATTGTTTCATTTTTTATTATTAATATTTTGACTGCATGTAGATATATATTCCATCTTTGATTGGGAAAACAAAAAGGTTAAAAAAGAAAAGCATGTTGTATTCATTGCTGTATTATGATATATACTCTGATAAAACTCATTTACCGTTTATTGAAGCATGCTCTCTCCCTCGTCAAAGAGGGAGTATATTCCAGAACAAAAATGTTATAGGTTTTAAATTTTTTATTAAATAAATGATTAAATATTTTATATAGGTGTGGAGTCTATATAAGTGTGGACTCCCTTTTATCAAATAAATAATTTAATGTCTCACATAGGTATGAAAATTTATAAAAATGTGAATCTCACACTCAAATATGAAATATTTAATTATTTATTTAGTGAAATATTTAATTATTTATTTAGTAAAAAATTTAATATTCTCAATATTATCTATAAACCAACCATGAGAGTTGAGTTGAGTGGACATCGCAATATGGCATTGGTCTTGTTTGGTAGGGTTTATTTCAGGTTTTAGTTTAATTTAAGTTATTTTGATGTGTTTAGTTCAGTTTAATAATACAGTTTATAGCTTTTTGTAAGTCAAAAATCAACTTATTCTTTGAGTGGGGGAGGAGAAGCTTAATTTATAAGTCAAAAATTAGCTTATGTTCACAGCTATAAGGTATAAGCTGTTAGGCTATAAGTTGTAATCACTTTCTTACAGCTCTACCAAATGGGGTCATTATCCAATACTAATGGCTTCTGGGCCCGATTATTATTATATTATTATTACAAAATGTTCTGCTTTAAGGTCTGTCTGGGAAACCAAAAAAAGAAATTAAGAAACAAAAGGGGTAAATTATATTGATTTTCTTGATATTTGAAAAAAAAATACAATAATAAGTTTCATAATTTTCGTATAATTATATTAGATTCTTTTAAGATTCTACGTGTTTGGTGTAACTTTTGTTTGTAACTTTTGTTTGGTGTAACTTTTGTTTGTAACTTTTGTTTGTAGCAGCTTATTAGGTAGAATTAACTTTAGTAAGCTGGAAAAAAAATTAATTATTTGGAAATTTGGAGAAAGTATGCTTTTAATTTCTGCTTGTAATTATTAATTTATTGCGTGGGATAAGCTACACCAGACATGTCCAACAACACCTATTTGTCTGTATGTCTGCTTTTCAATAATCAGTTTATTTCAATTTAATTAAGCTAACTTTATCTCATAAGTTGTAAATAAAAAATTGCATCAAACACTATTGACACATTTTTTCAAAAAAAACAAAAGAAAAGGTGCAAGTAAAAATAATAATATTTTTCTTTTTTTTAAAATAATAATAAACAAAGATATGAAGGTTATTGTGAGTGACTTAGAACCAAAGCCTTTTTACTAACCGCCTTCCTCTGTGCTTTGTTTGGACCTTACTTGTACGGTTGGTATAAGCCGCAAATACATGCGTTATGTGCAAGTAATGTATGAAAACCAAACAAACAAACCTTTACTTTCAATTCCTTTTCCCTTCATCTTGGGTTAGGTTTCATGATCAATGGATGAAGGATGCGTTTTGTTTTGTTTTGTTTTGTTTTTTTATTTTTTTTTATTTTTTTTGGGGTTCTCTGCTTTGAAGGCGTGTGATGATGGGAATTCTTTGACCTATAAGATAAAAAATTCAATTCTTGCTATTGACCCAAAAATAAAAAGGATTATTATAAATTATATGTAAGGTTTGTTTATCCTATTTGTAACTGGTGCAATATTGATAGGTGACCTAAAAGTAATAAAAAAATGTATGCATGATCTTGATTATTTATGAAAATTCTAAATATATATAAAATTCATACAAAAAGTTTGATAAAAATAATGTGATAATGTCATTATTGTAAATAAATTTATCTTTAATGATATTTTGTTTTGAAATTAAAGATTTAAAATATGTGGAGACATAATTTTGAGTTGTCTATGTGGCCTAGGTTGTTAGTCGAAGTGTCACGTGGATGATTCTGATTCTGATTGGTTGAGATGTGGTCAAATCACATATGAATCCGAGATGTTCGAATGAAAGACTAAAGTCCTAGGTAATGATAGACTCTTTAGGTAAGGTTGGACTTTTGAGAGAATTGATCGTAACGCAAATACCAGAAGTCTTGAATAAGTAATATCATAGAATCCCATGAGGTAAGACTTTTAGAGGAAGTTAGACACTGATCATCCTATAGGATATAAAGAGGGTATTCCGTGGGTCTAAGGTATGTTCAGAATTAGTGTTATTTTATGTCGATATCTTGTGAGATAAGTTTACTGACTTGATCATTAGAGTGCCCCGAGTGAACGAGCCACCGCGGTACTTCTTATCTTCTTGTGCGCAGGTGCTAACTTAATCTATTTTTCTGTATGCTCTCCAACTGAGATCCCTAGATCTCGACAAGGAGATCTGTTTGGATGTGAGGTCAAATTGTGGGTGTTGATTTTTGACCTCACAACCAAATAGATCTCCTTGTCGAGATCTAGGGAACTCAATTGGAGAGCACACATAAGAATAAATTAAGCCAACACTTGCACATAGGAAAATAAGAAATACTGCGGTGGCTTGTCCACAAAAAATAAGAAATACTGCAGTGGCTTGTTTACTTAGAGACACTCCGACGATCAAATTAGTAAACTTATCCCACAAGATATGTAAGACGATTAAATTAGTAAACTTATCCCACAAAATATGGGCATAAAATAGTACTAGTTCAAAACATACCTTAGACTTACGGGATGCTCTCTTTATATAATGATTAATGTCTAACTTTTCCTATAAATCTTACTTTATGAGATTTTATCATTTACAAGGTCTTATTTGGATTAAGATCAACTCTCTCAAGACTCTAATCTTATCTAAACAAAGTTTGTCATCATCTAGGACTTTACTCCTTCATTCGAATATTTTAGATTCAGATATGATTCGATTAAATCTCGACCAATCAGAATCACCCACGTGGCACTTTGACTAATCCACCTAGGCCACGTGGACAACTCAAAATTATATCCCCATAAAGTTACATCATTATGTATGAATTTTTTGTTTGTATAGTATTTTTATATATAATGATGTGATTTATTGTAGACATTTAATTTTAAAACAAAATATAATAAAAAATAAATTTATTTATAATAGTAGGATTCTTCTGATGAGTAACAGACTCGTGACAAATAGTAGGTACCCACAATTAATGTCCTATTAAAAAAAACGTATTATGATGATTGATACTTTAAAATCCTGTTAATAGTAAATTGTCATGAATGAGATCATCATATCCACCGTGAAATTAAGGGGTGATACTTAAAATTCTATTAATAGTAAATTGTCATGAATGAGATTATCCACCGTGAAATTAAGGACTAGTTTGGCATATATTAAATAAGTCAAAAAGTCACTATCTTATTTAAGTCACATCATCTTATTTAAATCACATCACCTCTCTAACACATCACATCAAACCCAACTCAAATCCAATCCAAACCCACCAATAAGTCAAAAAGTGCACTTTTTTAGGACATTCCAAACCAACCCTAAGGGTGATTTGAGAAGTTGGTTGAAAGTTAATTTCTTGATTTTTTTTTAGTTTTTTTATATTTTTATATGTAAAAAAATATAAAAGATGATATGATCTAAAATAAATTAAAAATTAACTTTCAACTAGGTTCCAAATTATCCCTAAGTTACACTGAGATACAAAAATTAAATGGTATGTTGTAAGAATGGTAAAGGCTAATAAGTGCTTCAAACATTAGTTATTGTAGGATTGAGATAAAAATAATAATAATAAAAGAGTGCTTTAAGAAAATATTAATGTTATGTTTGGTTCATTGATTTAAGTATAAGGCTTTGTTTGTCATAATTTAAAAAAGTTAAAAAGTAAAAAAGTTACTATTTTATTTAAGTCACATCATCTTATTTAAATTATATCACCTCTCTACCTTATCACTTATAATGCAACCCATACTCATCTCATATCCGCAGTGCTAGGGACCTCTAATAGTAGAGTTTTAACAGAGCTCTACCGATGTGGAAACCTCAAAAAAAAAAAAAAAAAAAAAAAAAAAGCAACACTGTGGCAGAGGGTGGGGCCTACTGCCACATCATTAGAGTTATCACTAATTAGTGATCTCAAGCATGTTTGCAACTCATATTTCATAAAAAAATTAAAAAATATACTTATTTAGAACATTCCAAACAAGAAAATACAAAAATTAAATAAAATATAATTATATTTTACACACTTTTTATATACGTATATATATTTCTATTTTAAAATCTTTAGTCAAATTTATGAAATAAACCCCTTCTAAAAATATATATCTGTCACAATTGTATATATGTAAAGGTTTTTTTTTTTTTTTTAGTGGGTTAATGTTGTTAGGAAAATTTACCCATAAGTCCTAGTTTTTGAAACGTTGAACCATTTAATTCTAAAAGTTTTCTTATGCTCCATTTAGTCTCATTTTTACATCAACATGATGTTAATGATGTAAATGATCTGATGTTTCATTCCATAATTTGAAAATTTATTGAAATCTGATGAACATTAGATGTTTTTCATCCTATATTTTCAAACATTATTGAAATTTGATGAACATTAGATGTTTGAAATCCAATGTTTGTAACATGACTCTGATGTTATTAACATTGTGTACGGGGAGGAAATAATTCTCCTCGTATAATCCTGTTGACCAAGTCCACGCTCCTCCGTACGACGTCGCTTTGTCACCTGAAAACACAAACGTGAGCTAGCCGGCGGGTGTGTGCCGGAAACCTCTCCGATGCCTAAGTCAGTAAGCTTGACAAATAGACAAAGTTTTATG